GGCCACAGCCTCTGTGCTTTCTTCCCCACCACTGGCTACAGCAGCACATGGAGTGGAATGGCCCTGGGATGCTTGAAGTACAATGGAAGGCTAAATCTGGCTCTGCTGTTAATGGGACTGGTGGAGCATAAGGAGAGAAGCCTATGGGGTGAGAGATGCCCACAGGGCCACAGAGTACCCCTTTGTCTCCAGAGCAGAGCCAGAGCCTGTGTGCATTTCCAATGGTGAGAAACCTCCCTGGCTGCATGCTGAATGCTGGGCAGAGCAGTGGGAGCCCATGAGGGTCAGTGCAGAGCTGAGCAGGTCCCACACCTGCCCCAGGGCTCCGGGCACCATCCCAGGGCAGCCCTGGGGAGAAAGACCAGAGCAGGCTGGCCATGGGGTGCCCACAGCTGTCACAGCCTCCTGATGAGGTCAGCAGCCAGGAAGGCCCTGGGGACAGCTGATAAGCCTTCAGTGTCTGCTCCAGCGCTGCCCGTGTGAGCTGGGTGTATTTTTGGCTTGAGGTTGGGTCATAAATCAATATGAGTCAGAAAATGCAGTTAAGGCAGAGCCGTGTCCCCTGTCCTCAGGCCTTCTGCAGTCAAAGGCCAACAGCACCGAACTGCTGGCTGCAGTTTGCCCAGGACATGGGCACGATGGACACAGGCAGGTCCCGGGTGCAGGGATATGGCAGCTGAACCAACCTGCCTGGGCAGTGGGATGGGCTGCCTCTGCCTCAAAGTACAGGTGCTTCTACAGCAGACACAGAGCACGGAGGAAGGCTATGGCTTGTTGACTTGCCAAGGAAATCACCCTGGATCACCTCAGGCAAAAAAAATATGAATTTGCCTCCTGTCCCCTTCCAGAAATGTCCCTCATGGAACTAACTCACCACAGCAGTGCTATTGTGAGTCTGCAGAACAGCAGCACGTCACACAGAGGAGTCAGATACCATGCCCTGATGTGCTCCTCTCCCTGCTCCCCAGCTATAATCTTACTGCTCCTCACCAGTCCTCCCACACAGGGATAAAAGAATCTGCACCCAATGCACCCGCCAGCTCCCAGGACTGGCATGAGTCCTTCAGAAGAAATCTTCTCTCCCATAGATCTGCTTTTCCATGGTCCCTGTGATGATGCAGAAAAGATGCATTTTGGGGACTTACAAAATGACAGCCTTATCTGTGCAGTGCCCACAGTGTAGGAGCCAGGCAGGAGCTGGAGGAGCCCATAGTGGAGGAACAGGGGGACAGGCAGGCACTGGTGATGGGTGCAAGGCTCTCAGCCATGCTGCAGCACAGCTGAGCTGTGGGCCGCAGGAGCAGGGAGCATTGAGCTGACACTGTGTGCCATGTCCCCAGCCCCTGCTGACCCAAAAGCTCAGCCAAAGCAGCTGGGCTCTGCTCTGGCACGTGGCACTAAGATGACCTGGCAGTGTGGTAACCTGCCCTGGTACCTGGCAGGGTCTCCTGACTGGCTCCCAAGCTGCTGTTGAGCACCTCCACCAGGGCCTGATATGCAGCTGCCACCCCTCTGCTGATGCAGCCCAGGGTACCACTGGCCCTGCAGGCTCCAAGCTCACACTGCTGGCTCATGTCAGATTTTTGTCCACCAGAGTTCCCAAGTCTTCTCTGCAGAGCTGCTCTCAAGAAGTTCTTCTCCCAGCCTGCACACATAACTGGGATTGCCCCCACCCAACTGCAACATTTGGCCTTGTTGAACCTCATTAGGTTCATGTGGGCCCACTTTTCAAGCCTGCCAGGTCCCTCTGGATGGCATCCCTTCCTTCTGTTGTATCAACTGCACCACTCATCTTGGTGTCATCAACTAACTTTGCTCCTCTCCAATAACAAGTGAGAAGGCCAAGAAATAAAACAGGTACATTCCGGGAATGCTGCAGCAGCAAACATTGCATGAATCACGTCAGGCAGTGTCTTCTTCCCAAAAGATGTGCCTGTCCCCCTGGGAAAGCAGCCCTGGAGCACAGCCCCGGGGAGGAGGACAGGCCCTGCAGGAGGACAGGTGCCCATGGAGTGGGGGAGCACGGTCAGCACCAGGAAGAGGGAGGCTGTGCTTCTACCATGGCACACAAAGAGCCACACAGCGCTCCCCGGCCCCTTTCCCTGCCTGCACCCTCCTCTGTCAACAACTTCAGCTGCGAGCCCACCCTCACCAGGAGACCACCCCTGCTCCATCCCGCCTGGGCATCAAGAGCCCCATCACACTCTTGGCACAGGGCACTGCTCCTGCCACAACCCATCAGCCGGTACTGAAATGTGCCTGCCACAGGAGCCTGCATGCCAGCATGCCCAATGCGGCCACATACAAAACAGAATGGACAAAGAAAAGCATCAACAGGACAAGGTCCCAGGAAGAGGCACGGTTCAGTAGGAGGGCTGGACATGGCACTGCAGCCTGGAGAGCAAATGCAGCACAAAGGTTTGGGATTATCAGTGTGGTCATCAGGGGATGCCTACACAACAGGAGGGATGCTGGAAAACGGAAACAGGTTCAGAGAGACAAAGAGAATGGGGCTGGCCTCCCATTCACCCCATTATTTGCAGCTCTGCAGCCACCAGCACAGCGCTGCAGATAGGTTGGGGCACCGGGGGACACCTTTATTTGGAGACGTGGGGCTGCACAGCCCCACGAGATGGGAAGGAGTGGGAAGGAGATGGGGGTGAGCATGAGAGGCCCATCCTTCCCACCTCGTGGGGCCGCGCCAGCCCAGTGAGGTCCCTGCTGGATTCCTCTTGGCTGTCAGGCTGTGAGCACGCTGCAGAGCCGTGCCAGGCTTTTACCGTGCACAGTGGGATGGGGCCGGCCTCCAGGCCCAGCTGCCATAAAACGGGAAATAAGGGAATTGGAGCAAGACCGCAGCGACCACCGAGCAGCTGCCAGTGAAGGGCTGGGGCATCTCCTCCTTCGAGTCAGAGGCGCATCGCCCCACGCTGCCGCAGCACGAGCACGCACGGACCACGAGAGGAGAAGGATCGGCACCAGGAGGAGGAGGAGGAGGCGGCTCAGTCTCACCGGCTCTGCCCTCCCCAAACGCCCGCAGGGAGCAGGGCAGCCCCGCCGTGCCCCGCAGCAGCCGGCGCAGCCCCCGCTCACAGCGCTGCGCAGTTTTCTGCTCGTTACAAGTTTTATGAAAAGTTGTTGGCAAAAATGCACGTTTTCTTTGGCTGCATTTTGCACGGATCTGGCAAAAATGTAACGTTAGTGTCTCCCCTTGAGAGAATTTTATTGAGTGGAACAAAGTCGGATATTTTTAGCTACCCATTGTTAGCTGAAGAACAAAGCCATAACTAAGATATTTTGTCTCTTACACTGAAATGGGACTATCAGACAAATCCATGTACAGTCATATGTGGCTGCCCATTCAGATGGAGCAGAAAAGAGAAACTATTTTTAGCTCGATGCTCCACAAAACACCCGCACAGCTCCTCCCTGTGCGTGGACCAGCCCGGGGCAGAGCACTGCGGAAGGGGCTGTGGGGCCTTTCGCCACCCCTCGGGTCGCTTGACAAGTGACATTTGCAGGAGAGATCACGTCATACCCTTCTAAAACAAATTTCTTTCATACATTTTTCTCCTATTTTTATTCCTTATAGGCAGAGTTGGGCTTTACTCATAGGCATCAGGGAAAAGATGGCCAGGATGCAGACGGGTTGCAGCAGAGCAGTGGCTGTAACACAGCACAGAAGCCCTGACACTCAGCCCTTTCCCCAACATCTGATCCCCTGAGAGCAATGGGGCCTGTGGGCAGCGCTGCAGGGAGTGGAGAGATGGGCACGGCACAGGGATGGATGGGAACAGTGCAACGAGGGCAAAGTGCAGCATGGGCACAGCAAGGGATGGATACAGGGCACAGATAAATGGACAGCACAGGGACGGACGCAGTGCAGGGGTGGAGACCACGCAGAGACGGCACAGCACAGGATGGGCACAGCATAGAGATGGGCACAGTGCAAGGATGGATGAGCACAGTGCAACAAGGGCAAAGTGCGTGATGGGCATAGCACAGGGATGGATGAGCACAGTGCAGGACAGGCAGAGAACAGGGATGGATGGGGCCACAGTGCGGGGAGGGCACAGTATAGGATTATCACAGCGAAGGGATGGATGGGCACAACAGCACAGGGATGGCCAAAGTGCAGGGATGGGCACAGCACAGGGATGCTTGTGGGGGGACACAGCAGGGCACAGGGCAGGGATGGGCACAGCATGGGGATGGAAAAAGTGCAGGGACAGGCATAGCGCAAGGAAGGATGGGTACCGTGCAGGGATGGATGGGCACAGCACAGCAAGAGCAAAGTGCAGGGATGGGCAGAGCAAAAGGATGGATGGACACAGCACAGGGATGGATGGATACAGCACAGCTGGACAGCCCTGCTGCGCTCTGTACAGTCCTGCCGTGCTGGGACCCTGCCTGCTGCCAAGGCAGCTCCCAAAAGCATTAACCCTGCAGCAGCAGGAACCCCGTGCGAGGACAGCAAACCTCCCCGGAGGTTTGCAAACGAGCGAGACGAACCGTTTATGTCAGGACGCATCTTGCAATGCATTCATTTAAAAAGAAACAAAACGATCCATAAACGCCCCGGATTTTGAAGCGTGAGCGATGCCGGGAGCTTTTACTAAACAGTTCTGCGCACTGGTGAGTCACGGTGAATTGGCACTAAGCTGTCGGTGCAGCCGGCCTGACCCTGCGCGCAGCCGCCCCCGCCGAAGCAGGAGCACGAGGAGCGGGAGCCGGGAGGGATGTAGCGAACCCTTCCGAGCAGCTTCCAAACGGCCGCCGGGCACTCACGTGGCCCTTCCCCATCATCCTCCCTTTGCAAAGCCGCATCCTCTCCTCGCCGTGCAGCGGAGCGGGGCTGCCAGGTGCGCGCGGCCCCACCGCCCGACAGCCCCCGAGAAGCAGCGGGAGCGCGCCCCGCGGGGCGGGAGTGCCGTGTGTCGGCCGAACTGCGAGCGAGCGGCCGGAGAGCGGAAAGACGTGGAGTAGGAAACGCAAATTACCTGCGAACTTTTCAGCTGAGCTACAGTGTCCGGGAGGAGATGCGGCTTTTGGGGGTCCTCGCTTCCTCCGCGGGTTAGGGCCGCTTTTATCAGGGAGCAGTGATTGTTTTTATAAACTCGCAGAGCACAGTAAGAACCGGTTTAAAATAGAGTGAAAGGAACCGGTGCGGATGGAATTAGACAAACTCTGCGAGCCGCTTTTCCAAAAATAAATTAACTTCTTGCAGCCCGCGGTGCGGAGCGGGGAGGCCGGGGCTGCGGGGGGGGCTCACCTTGCCCGGCGCTGCCCGGGGGGCGGGGAGGGGCCGGGAGCGGACAGCCCGGGGCGGTGCGAGCTGCCCGGTCCCGCTCCGCGCCCCGCGGACGACCTCGGCCCCAACCCCGAGCGCCGTGGGACCCGCAGCGCCCCCCGGCTGCGCGGAGCGGCCCGGGAGCCCCGAGCCCCAGCCCGGCTGCGCGGCTTCGCCCCGAGCCCGGCAAGAGTTAAGGAGGAGGAGGAGCCTCCGCCGCCCGGGCTCGGGGAGCAGCGGGAGCCGGGAGCTGCCGCCTGCCCCGCGGGCTCCGCCGCCTCCACCTGCCCCTCTGCCCGCCGCGCTGCTCTCGGGACGGCTGCGTCCCCGGAGCGAGGGCCGCCCGATCCCATCCCCGCTTCCCCGAGATGCAGTGGCGGTGCAGTGCTCGAGGCGGCTCCCGGCCCCATCGAACCGCGCAGCACCCCGAGCTGGAAAGGACGGGCAGGGATCACCGAGTGCAGCTCCGATGGCTGAGAGCGATGTCCCAGCGCTCCCCCAGTTCCGGCACCGGGCCGTGCCCTCCGTCCTGTGGGGCACGACCTTCCCCTGACCCCCCACCCCGCCCTGACGCGGCTCCGTGCCGTTCCCTCGGGTCCTGTCGCCGTCCCCAGGCTCAGCGTCCCCGCAGCCACCGCAGCCCCGCACCTCGCAGAATCCCACGCCCGCGGGAGCTCCCGGCTGTGGCCGAGGGGCACCGAAGGCGGTTTTGGGAGGAGCACTGCAGAGGAACGGGGTGCTGGCAGGCCTTGCTGCCCTATGCCCCAAGGGTGCAGCCTCACCTCGGGAATGGAACTGCTCTTTATCACAATCTTTGCATCAGCAGGTCCTAAAGTACTTGATTTCTCCAGGTGAAGAACCAGCAGCTGCCAGGCGCCCTTTACCTTCAGCTTCCCTTCAAATCCCCCAGAACTCACTTTCCCACCTTTTCCTGGGCTCAGGCTTGCCTCCGCCATCCTACAGGGCTGAGCTGGCACAGCTGCCCCACGGCAGCATCCATTCCCAACCCGAAGTCACGCCTTAACCTCAGCTGTCAGCTGGAGGCTGCGTGCAGAGAGCATCTTTCCTCAGCAGCCCTCCTCACCGGCACTGAGCTGTGTTTCCTGAACATGGGAGCAGCCCAAGCAGCAGATTCTCTGCTCAGGCTGCATTTCCCCCAAGCCCCGAGCCCACAGTCCCCCCAGGGTCCCTGCCTATGCCCCCCCAACCACTCCATGTATCCTCTCCCAGCAGCTTCCTCCCCTGAGATGAAGAGCAGGAAGGTGTCCCCCACCCTCACACTGTGTGCCACCGCTGCTGGGGATGGCAGTGCCAGCAGTTCTCCACTCAAAACTTTACCCATCCAAAAAAATACCACTGTGTTTCTTTTTTTTTCTTTTCTCCCTTGGAGAACCCCCCCACAGATGTGTTTGTGTGGAGCCAGCAGCCCCTGTTCCATCCTTTCCAGGGCAGGCAGGATGCTGCTCCCCTCTGCAGGGAAAATCCTTTTCTTCTATTTATTTACATCTGGCTCGCTGTAAATTCACCCGTCTGTGAACCTGCAGCTCACACTAACAAATGGTGCTAAACCTTCTGGAGTGTGCAGCAGCCGCTGGCAGGCGGACATACACTGTGAGGAGATCTCTTCCCTCCTACAAGTCCTCATCTCCAACCAGGTTCATCCATATGGCATCGGGCAAGTGCAGCATTCTGCTCTGTGGCCAAAGATACCAACAGCCTTCTAAGCAGCAGGGGCACACGGCTGAGCCACGTTCCACTTGCAGTCCACTGGGAAGCCCAAGCCCATTTCTGCAGAGCCCCAGCGTGTCCCAGTGCCAGGGCTGCTCCTCCACAGGTGCACAAGGGTTCCTCCCTGGGAGATCCACCCCAGGTTTGGATGAGGCAGAACCAGAGCTCGAAAAGGGTCCTTTGGGAGCGGGAGGCTTTGGGGAGGGAAGCACAGGGAAATGAGCATTTCAGAGCTGACAGGTTGGTGTTTCCGTGCAAACTGGTGGTAGAGTAGCTGCAGTGATTTAGGCTGTTATCATTAGGGCTCAGGGTTAACAGACCACGCTGAGCAGTGGAACAACATCTTCTCAAAGTTTTGTTGCACTGCTGCATTGCTACGGGGGCCACCGGGCAGTCGCTGGAAGCTCTCTGCACCACAAGGTCTCCTTTGCAACCAGCTCTCAGGCGGGGTGAGATGAGAACGGGACAAGGAGGGAAGGACAGGCTGCAGTGGCTGCGGATCCATCCCACAGCAGCCGCAGCACACGGCCACACATCTCCACCCCCGGCCTCCCTTCAGCAGCATGCTGAGTTTATTTTAGCCAGGGAGATGGAGGACGGAGAGCCGGAGGATCAGAGAGCTGCGGGGTGCGGGGGGGTGAGGGGGGCTGCGCCTTCAGCACGTGTGACATGCGCCTGGTGTCACCGAGCACAGGGCTGTGTGCGGCGTGATATACGAGCTGCGGGCGGCGGGCTGCAGCTGGAGGAGCTCGGGAGGTCCCTCCGCGGGCACGTGGGCGGGCAGACCCCACGCTGGCTGCTGGACGGAGCCGCTGGGATGCAGCCAGCAGCCGTGCAGAGCGCTTTTTTATCGCCTTTCTCATCCTCGGTTGCTGGAAGGGTTAAACACCTCCACTGCCAATCTGGTACACCAGGATTCCTGCCCCATCCTTGCCTCACACATTGCGGATGCACGATGCATGCACCCACATTCCTTCACTGCCTGGTGCTGGCAGCCCGCTGCAGGTCCCGCACGGGGCTCACAGCGCGTGGCACGTCCCAGAGGTGGGGAATCACCCCAAACCTGCTGGAGAAGGAACAGCCCAACGCGCTCACCCTGGTGGAATAAAAGCCATGCAGAGCTGTGAGCTGAGGAGCACAGCAGCCACCTGCGGTCCCTGAGCAAGGAGATGTGGTGCCTCCTGCCCAAAAGATACCTGTGTGCCTGTGGGGTGCAGGCAGGGTGCCCAGGCAGCACCCAGATGCTTCCATGGCTCAGCACTGGTGCAGGCAGCCTTGTGTTGCTCTGAGTGTATTTCAGCCTTGTGTGTGCAGGGAGGGCGATGGTTTCTGATGCAGAAAGGGCTGATTTGCACCAATCTGGTGCATTACACTCATGGCTATGAGTGTGCAGAGCTCTGCAGCAAGGTGGGCCAGGGCACGGTGCCACCCTGCTTCAAGCTAAGCCCCTCCATCAACCAGCACAGGGAGACTGGACAAAAAATCCACACTGGAGCTGTTCCTGTGCTGCTGTGCCCTTCTGCTGTCCCACACAGAGCCCAGCCCCTGGGAAGGCTCCTGTGATCCTGGGGGTGGTGGGCACAGCCTGCCCCCGAGGTACTCCAAACAAGGCAAACAAAAGCAGGAAGGAATGGAAATGCCACGTCAGTGGCTGTGGAGCACCAAGCTGCTGTGCAAAGGACGGTACAGCAGCCCTGGGTCACCAACGTAGGCAACTTCAGCAGCTCCAGCTGCCATGATGCAAAAGGCAAGCTCCTGGTGTCAGGTGGATACAAGGATTGGAGGCAGGAACACCAGTCCAGGGGCAGCTGGAGGGCTGAATGCAGCAGCCATGCTCTTAGCATGTGCACCAGGCTCCCCACCTCATGCTCTGCCCCTTCCTGGGGCTACAGGCACACCAAGGGAGCAGCAGCCATCCAGCCAGCCCTAGGGGTGCCCTCCTGCCCTGAGATGCTCAGCCACCTCCTGTGCTGATGGCACCCATGCACACACGGACACGAGGGACGTGGAGCCCCGGTGCTGCCATCCCCTGCACCACAGCGGGGCTGCTGGCAGCTGAAGGGACCCCACTGCTCAGCCTCAGAGCAGGGCTCAGGACCGGGGTGCAGGCAGCACAGATGCAGCCAGAGATGCGCTCCCCACACTATTCTTAGGAAGGGTAAAGTTTATACAAGAAATTTAAGCTTTAAACCCAGGCACCATAAATAGTCTATTTTTCAAGGGCTGCAAGTCAGTTGTAGGCCGGCAGCCAGAGCCAAAATTTGGCAGCTGTCTTTGTTTAATGATTAATTAAAATGAGGTAACAAAACGAGACGTATCTATTAACGAGGGTATTTGCAGCGTCAGGAGACGATTCCAAATGGCTGATTTTTTTCCCCTTTTAATCTCCAAACCTCTCGTCAGGAAAACAAGCTCTTCCTCGGCAGCGGTGGGCAGGGCTGTGCCGTGGCCCCTCACCCTGGGAGCGGGAGTGGAGGGCATGCAGGCACGGCTTTATCTTTATGGTCCTCTGCCTTTAAACAGCGCGAACCCTCCACAGAAAGATTTTTCCAGCTTAGAGATTTTATTAGAACGTCAAGTAAACTTCAATGGAGAGACCCTTGGCTGTGATGGAGGAGGGAGGGGGGAGGTCTGCACGTCGCTCCGGCCCTTTGCCCAGCATGGGGTGGTGGGTGCTGCAGAACAGGGACGGAAACAGGAGTGCTGGAGGCAAAGGGGCACTTTCCATGCTCTCTGCTGGAAAAACGGGGTCCAATCCACATCCCCACACTTCTCTGGGGGAGCAGCTCATGCTCTGGGTCAGCTGTCAGCAGTATCCAGCCCAGGCCCCTCAGGGAGACGTCCCCAGAGCATCAGGATGGGGAAGGCGCTCCGTCCCCAGCCGTCACCCAGTGCTGGGATGTTGCTGAGCTCTGAACACCCCGTCAAGCACAAGGCCACCTCAGGTGGGGTGCCTGTGGCCACAGGAGGGTTAATACATACAGGGGGGTCTGGAGGCAGCTCCGGGGGGTGTGCGGAGCAGGTTCACCCTCCCCGGGGCTCCAAAGGCCTCACCACATGGGAAAGCACCCAAGTATGAGGAAAAGGGAAAAACATCCCAAAATAGTTTAGTCTTGTTTTCTGCACTGAGACGCCCAGACAGGGTGGGAGTTCTGGTTGTGTCTGAGCTAAAAATT